GAAATCTGTTTTCAGAGTCTTTGGGCTAAAATCGTAAGAATCAAAAGTGTAAAATTACAAAAAAAAGTCCTGGAAGCTCATTGGCCAGATTGTCCTTTCGTCATAAAGCAGAATGTTTTTGTTCATTCCCAGAAAAGGTCCTATTTAATTTATGTATTTTTTTGGTCAAAAAAACAAATCAAAACAAGCAAAAAAAACAAAAAAAACAAACCCAGACATTTATTTTGTCTTCTGTGAAAAATACAGGACCTTTTTGGAACTTTACTTCATTACTTTGCTCCATAAGAAGGGGGGTCTTTATCATTAGGACAAGCTGTAAAATTTAGGAAAATACATCCCAAAGTTTATGTCCTTCTTCACATTTCCCAAAGGCAGAGGGCTGACTATTGGTCCAGTGCCTTATATTTGACACCTCTACTGTAGATGAATACTGAGTAACATCCGCTGTGGTTAGTTGAGCTCTCTGAAAACATATTTATTTGTTTTGTGGGCAGCACAGTGGTGCAGTGGTAAGCACTGTAGTCTCACAGCAAGAAGATCCTGTGTTTGAATCTGTTGGCTGGCTGGGGCCTCTCTGTGTGAACTTTAAACATTATCCCTGTGCCTAAATGCCAGGTATGAAGACTTCCTCCCACAGTCCAAAGGTGTGCATGTGAGGCCACTTGGTAATTTTAAACAGGATGTGGGTGTGAATATCAGTGTGACCGGTTGTCTTACACTGTGTGTTAGGCCTCTAATAGAAATCAGTTCCCATAGAATCATACATCAAAATGTCCAGTGTTATGCCAGCAAAAGCAGAACCACAGGTCCTTATGTCTAATGCCTTCAGCTGCAACAAACATTTCATAACTCACCCATTTAAGCTCTATTAAAGTTTGCAATTTGATAGGGAGAAGCTAACACAGGCAGTTGTAGCTGTATGCTAGTAAGTGCTAGACATCACATCAGCTGAATCTGAATCACTAGCTTAAACCTTGCAGTTATCAGGAAAACAAACTTGTTAAAAAAACATGAGACAATATTTGAACATGGCTTATTCAACTTACTCAACTTGGGTAAATGAATGTTTTCTTCTTTTTGTTCATCAACAGCATTTCCAGGCACTATTATAGGAGCTACAGTAAAAATAAAAATGAATATAATTTCATAATTTTGATATCAAAAGGTAACAAAGGTATTGGTGCATGGTTTATTGTACATCCCATCCAAGAAGTCTGAGACATATAATCTGGGAAATTCTTGCATTTTATTTTTTGGTTACTTTCCGGTAAATGGCGGTTTCTTAGATGATTAAACAAAACAAAACAGAAAAAAAGAAGCTGATGACCAAAATAGCAAAAGTGAAAATTCAAGTTAGTTTCCAAACCAACACATTGGTTATCATCAAGCATTTGAATAAACCAAGCATATTTTTCATTAATCTGTTAATTCTATAGTAATAGATAGTTAACAGTAGAGCTGGGCGATAGAACGAT